CCCCACACCCCCTGCCGCGGGCTGGGCCGTGACTCTGCCCCGGAAAACGGGCCTCGTGTACAGCTGCCCTCTCCTGCATCCCAGCTGTTACCCAGGCTGCTCTTTGCTGGCACAGTCTGCTTTCCTTGGGCCGCCCTCCACCCTCTCCATCCCCCCAAAGGTACGGCCACATCCCGTCCTCGCACCCCCTGCTCTGTGCCGAGTGGTATCGCCCTCCACCCTCTCCATCCCCCCAAAGGTACGGCCACATCCCGTCCTCGCACCCCCTGCTCTGTGCCGAGTGGTATCGCCCTCCACCCTCTCCATCCCCCCAAAGGTACGGCCACATCCCGTCCTCGCACCCCCTGCTCTGTGCCGAGTGGTATCGCCCTCCACCCTCTCCATCCCCCCAAAGGTACGGCCACATCCCGTCCTCGCACCCCCTGCTCTGTGCCGAGTGGTATCGCCCTCCACCCTCTCCATCCCCCCAAAGGTACGGCCACATCCCGTCCTCGCACCCCCTGCTCTGTGCCGAGTGGTATCGCCCTCCACCCTCTCCATCCCCCCAAAGGTACGGCCACATCCCGTCCTCGCACCCCCTGCTCTGTGCCGAGTGGTATCGCCCTCCACCCTCTCCATCCCCCCAAAGGTACGGCCACATCCCGTCCTCGCACCCCCTGCTCTGTGCCGAGTGGTATCGCCCTCCACCCTCTCCATCCCCCCAAAGGTACGGCCACATCCCGTCCTCGCACCCCCTGCTCTGTGCCGAGTGGTATCGCCCTCCACCCTCTCCATCCCCCCAAAGGTACGGCCACATCCCGTCCTCGCACCCCCTGCTCTGTGCCGAGTGGTATCGCCCTCCACCCTCTCCATCCCCCCAAAGGTACGGCCACATCCCGTCCTCGCACCCCCTGCTCTGTGCCGAGTGGTATCGCCCTCCACCCTCTCCATCCCCCCAAAGGTACGGCCACATCCCGTCCTCGCACCCCCTGCTCTGTGCCGAGTGGTATCGCCCTCCACCCTCTCCATCCCCCCAAAGGTACGGCCACATCCCGTCCTCGCACCCCCTGCTCTGTGCCGAGTGGTATCGCCCTCCACCCTCTCCATCCCCCCAAAGGTACGGCCACATCCCGTCCTCGCACCCCCTGCTCTGTGCCGAGTGGTATCGCCCTCCACCCTCTCCATCCCCCCAAAGGTACGGCCACATCCCGTCCTCGCACCCCCTGCTCTGTGCCGAGTGGTATCGCCCTCCATCACACCTTGGCCAGGCCGCCTCCAGCGCCTTCACACCCCTGGCCAGCTGCAGCCTTTGCTATTCTAGTGCCAAGCTGCTGCTAACCACAGACCATCCCTGGGGGCTGTTCGCCTCTTGGGGGGCAGCGTGGCCAGATGGGCACACGTGGAGGGGCCAGGCTCAGGGTGAGGCCTGGAAAGGAGCAGACTTCTCTGGACACAGAGCTGCTTGTCCAGATTCGTGGAACTCCTGGCTGCTACTCCCAGGGCAGGGGGCACAGCTTTCCTCTGGGTCGCCCGAGCTCTTCTCTCTCATCTGCAAGGCAAAGGCAAAACAGCTCTCAGGAAACCTAGGAGAGCCGAGCCCAGCTGTGCTGGAGGGGTGCATGAGAATCGTGTCTGGTCTCCACAGCTCATAGCTGCGTTACCCCCTCAGCCCTCCAGCACCGGGGAGAAGGCCGTGGGGTGTCGGGGCCGGTTAACACGTGGCAGTGCTGCTGAGTAAACGTTGAAAATCTCTTGCAATGAAATTCATTGCACGGTCCTGGCCTGCTCTGTCCAAAGAAAATAAGGGTTCCAGGTGGTTTATTTCCCTCCGTCCTCTCTTAAGTGCAAGGGGTGCATTTGGTCACCATGGCGACCTTCATGACTTCAGTCAAACACGAGCCCGATTTCTATTTATTGTTTTAACGTTCCTAACGAGGGTCAAATCCCTGAGCGAGGCAAACACGGCAACGGTTGCCATCAGAGCTGCGTGTGGAACACGGAGCGCCGAGGTCAGGATGCCCAGGAACATCTGAGATATGGCGGACGGGCCTCTTGCTGCCAGAACCAGGACTCGGTAGCCGTTTAGTCTGGGTTCACCCGGCAGCCTCGGCCCTCGTCCCTGCCCCACCAGCTGGGCGTGAGCATTGGAGAAGAGCAGGTGAGGGGAGAGTCGCGACTCAGAATGCCCGACAGAGCTACTGGAGGCCGGCGGGTCCAGAAGAGAGCACACCCCAGGCCCGCCCAGTCCTACCAGAAATGCCATTGGCCAGGCGCTGAGGGGTAAATGAAGCATCGCGCCCCTGAAGCCGTTTGCACGGTGCAGTTCCAGCCACTAAGGAGCTGCCAGGCCCTGGGCCAACCTGCGACACCTGCCCCTCGGTGTGCTCCCCTTGGCAAACAAGGCCACGGCTCGCTGAGGGACCGGCCCCACCGGACAGGATGCCCCCATGGTCGCTGAGCCGGCAGGCACAGAGCGTGCTGCTTGGCCCCTTTGTTCATCTCCAGGGGCCACCCTGGCCCAGGCACCTCAACAGCAAAGACGCAGCAAAGCAGAGGCCAGCCTGGGAGCAGGCTGGGGGTCGGGAGAGGCTGAGAGGTATTAAGGACCTGCTGGTGGGGGGTCTGCCTGTGGCCCCTCTCTGCCATGAGCCAAATGACCACCTTGACCAAGGGCCCTTAATAGCCTCGCCGCTAGTAGTGAGCCTGCCCCACTCGGCTCGGGGTGGCGTTAGGCACCAGTGCATGCTGGGTGGTGCACCGGAGCCGTGCTGACGGGCGGGTGGGTGCCTGGCAGAGAAGAGGGGGATGTACTTTCGGTTCCTGGCTTTTGTGGTTCGGCATCAGATGTGTGCTCAGAAATGGCCCTGCCTGGAGACTCGTGTCATAAGAACATAAGAACGGCCGTACTGGGTCAGACCAAAGGTGGCGTTAGGCACCAGTGCATGCTGGGTGGTGCACCGGAGCCGTGCTGACGGGCGGGTGGGTGCCTGGCAGAGAAGAGGGGGATGTACTTTCGGTTCCTGGCTTTTGTGGTTCGGCATCAGATGTGTGCTCAGAAATGGCCCTGCCTGGAGACTCGTGTCATAAGAACATAAGAACGGCCGTACTGGGTCAGACCAAAGGTCCGTCTAGCCCAGTATCCTGTCTGCCCACAGTGGCCAGCACCAGGTGCCCCAGAGGGGGTGGACCGAAGACAATGATCAAGCGATTTGTCTCCTGTCGTCCCTCTCCAGCCTCTGACAAACAGAGGCCAAGGACACCATTTCTATCCCCTGGCTAATAGCCTTTTATGGACCTAACCTCCATGAAATTATCTAGCTTCTCTCTCGTCCTGGATCTACCCCCAGAGCAGGGGCCTCACGAGAAGCGGGGCGAAGCCTCCGACATGCCTCACCCCGACTTGCAGGGGCCTCGCCCGGGGGCTGTGCTGGGGCGTGGCTGGCTCCCTGGCCGCACAGCAGATCCCAAACAGCGACTGAAGTGGTGGCGTTTGCACCACGGACTCTGGTTCTGGGGATCTGGCTTCAGACAAAGCTCATTCCACGCGTGGCCCCCGCAGAGCCACTGGCCACGCCCCCTGGAGGCTGGTCACAAGAGGGGGAGGGGCCTGCTCTCAGCTGCTTTATTAGCTGGAGTTCGTAGAATCCCAGGGCTGGCAGAGACCTCAGGAGGCATCAAGTCCAGGCCCCTGCCCCAGGCAGAACCTTGTCAAGCCGAGACTTGAAAACCTCTAGGGATGGAGATTCCACCCCTCCCTTGGGAACCCAGCCCAGCGCTTCTCACCCTCCTAGGGAAATAGTTTTTCCTAATGTCCAACTAGACCTCCCGCACTGTAACTTGAGCCCATTGCTCCTCGTTCTGCCATCTGCCACCCCTGCATCCACGTCCTTTCTATAGTGGGGGGCCCAGAACTAGACACAATACTCCAGATGTGGCCTCAGAGCCGAATAAAGGGGAATAATCACTTCTCTGGATCTGCTGGCAATGCTCCTCCTAATGCCCCTAATATGCCACTAGCCCTGTTGGCTACAAGGGCCCACAAGTTAAAAACAAGCCTCAACTTTTTCCTTCTCTTCTCTTTTTCCAGCTGTGCAAACCCACATCCTGAAGGCGGACAAGGCCGGCGACTGGTGGAAGTTCACCGTCAATGTCATCTCCGTGTATAAGCAAGGGAGCAACCGGATCCGGCGCGGAGACCAGACCCTGTGGATCCGCTCCAAGGACATAGCGTGCAAGTGCCCGAAAATCAAGCCCATGAAGAAGTACCTGCTGCTGGGCAACGACGCTGCCTCGCCAGACCAGAACGGCATCGTCGCGGACAAGAGCAGCCTGGTGATACAGTGGAGGGACACGTGGGCTCGGCGGCTCCGGAAGTTCCAGCAGCGGGAGAAGAAGGGGAAGTGTAAGAAAGCCTAAGGGACGAGGGCAGCAGAGCGCGAGGGCAAGAGACTGTGCATGCTGCTTTGTGTAGGACTGGAGCAGATAGGGAGGGTTAGGGGGTTGGGACGGAGCTCACTTTGCAGTTTGTGTGTCGGGGCGGGGGGGTTGGGATGTAGGGGAATCACGTCTGCGGGGCTGCCCAGTCTGCACCTCACCATACAGAACAAAATCACAGACACGCAAGAGAAACCATTGCGCCACGAGGCTGAACGGAGGCCGCGCTGCCTCGATCGCCGCAGGACCGTGCTCGCTCGTTCAGTTACCAGTTCCCCTCGCTTATTTCGCGCCCCCCCCCTTTGCCTCGAAGAGATCGCAGACGCCAAACTGCCTTAAAACTGCTAACGCCTGCTAGTTCCAAAGCCTAGAGACAGGAACACTCGACCCTGCGCGAAACTAACCCACCGCAGTGCTGGAAATTAACTCCCCTCCCCCGGGGCCACGTTTGCCCTGCTTAGATTGAACAAGACAGTGATCGTAGGGGAACTCATTAGAAACTGATCACTGAGGACGTATTTGAGGATCAATTAACACTGGTTACTTGAATGGTCTTCAGTAAAATGTCGTTCTAATAATCGATTGCCTGCTGTGCTGTCTCAGACAGGGCTAGATTTTCACAGTCAGGCCCGGGGGACGGTGCTTGTTCTGCCTGCCTTAGATTGAACAAGACAGTGATCGTAGGGGAACTCATTAGAAACTGATCACTGAGGACGTATTTGAGGATCAATTAACACTGGTTACTTGAATGGTCTTCAGTAAAATGTCGTTCTAATAATCGATTGCCTGCTGTGCTGTCTCAGACAGGGCTAGATTTTCACAGTCAGGCCCGGGGGACGGTGCTTGTTCTGCCTGCCCGCCCGCGGCACGTGATGCACCCGCTCGTCAGCGTTTCACACTCGCCCCCCACACTGCAAGATTCAAACCCAGGTTTGCAACGGAGAGCCTCGAGATGCCAGCTGGTTAGTGCGCTGGCTGCCCTGGCGCACAGAGCCACCTCCCAGCTGACAGTCCTCAGCGTTTCCAAACCCGGGGCCCCTCTGCCAACAGCCAAGCGCCACCGGGTCAATCCAGAGAGCGGTCGAGGCAGGAGAGTTAAGATTTGCAGTCGCACCTGAGGGAGGTGGGTGCCCGGCTTGGCTTGGAGCAGGCAATTAGGCTCCCCTAGGTGCGTTGGAGAAGACCCTCCCCTCCCGTCCAGAACGACGTGCCAATGGCTTACGCTGCGACACAGCCACCCTGGGGGCTTCTTTCCAAAGCCTTCTTGGCAGACGCTTCCCTCTGTACCCAACTGGCCCCTCTCGATCCATTGCCCCTCCCCACACCCAGGCCCCCACTGGCCTTTCCACATTACTCAGAAGCTGAAGGCCCGGCCAGGCAAGGGGCTGGGATGCCCACACGGCCATGAGCCTTCCTGCCCTGAGAGTCGTCCTGTGCCCTGAGCCGGCTGACCCCCCCAGCTTTGCATTTCTCACACCGGGAATGGAGACTTTTGTGTGGGGCTTTGTGCTACAGCAGCAAATATGGCTTTGCTTCCAGCCTCTGGGCTCAGCCCTCTGCCGCGACTCAGCCGCTTTGCCCCTGGAGAACCAATCCTTCCCCAAAGCAGGAGAAGCATCCGCCAGTGCAGATCAGAGCAGCTCTGGAGCCCGCCGTCAGGAGGGGCTGCGCTCGACTCACACGTGGCTTCCAGATGCATTTCTGCCATTCAGCAGCTGGGGAGCGCTTGGGCGGAGGAGCAGGCTCTGTTTGAGGGCGGCACTCCTCCGCCGAGCCTGTGGGCGCTCTGCTTGGGCGGGTTTTTTGTAGGAACTAAAGGGGGAGGGCACTTTGCATTCACGGCTTGTACAAACAACTGCGACAGCAGGGAGGTGAGGGGCTTGGATGCACAATTCAGACTCAAAACGCGGGGATGCCCATAATACAAAAAACACCAAACCAAAACCTCCCTGAGCCTTTTCCTGGTAGGAAACTTGGAAACATCCACTTAGTACATTTTCCAGCCATTTCCCTTGTTTTATAGCAATTGACAATATTTATATAATGACAAACCACCCTGAAGCAAGCAAGTAAATATGTGTCGAGTGGAGAGGTGCCCAGCTCTGCTCAGCGCGGGCCCGGGAAGTTGAAAGTTTAGTTGGTAGGAGAAAGAACCCGCAGAACTTGCCCCAGCAGCGACTGTGCAGCAAAATCAGGCTCTAGTTCCCACTGCCCCAGGCTCGGAGTTGGGTACCACGTCCCCCCTCCGTGCGTTTCCCCAATGCCCCCCGAGGCCACGCTGACTTGGCCGCACTGCAATGGCTGGCTGTAGAACGGCAGGCACCCCCACGGTTGGGTCCGTGGAGCTGGCGTTACTGGCCCAGAGCCCAGGAGCGTATTCACAACAAAAAACTAAACTTGAAAAAGAAACCTCCCACCCTGCTTTCTACTGCCTTTCCCGGCTTTGGAAGAAGCCCACAGGCAGAAAACGTTCCTGCCTCCACCAGGATACTGATCCGCCGAAGAGCTGCAAAAGGCCTGGGCACTCCAGACAGTTGAATCAAAACAAACCAACCTCCCCTGCCCCCAAGAAGCTTGTTTGGATGGTTAGTAGGAGACGTAAAACTAACTGGAGCGCAGACGTTTTATTAACCAGCACTGTACTACTAGAGATTTTTGTAAACGACCCCTCTCTTGTACCCAGCAAGCCCGCTCGTCCAGAAGCCTCACATACAATCTCTATGGGCTGCTGCCCCCCTGGACTTCAGGCGGCCAGGACTTCGCCCCTTGGGTAACACCATCTCTAGGGCTGTTGCTCCTCAGGAGAAACCTAACCCCGTCATTTGGAGGTAGCCAAGCAGGCAAGCCCATGCCACAGCCAGCAAGGAACTGATGCCCCCACCTCCCACCCCTGCCAGTCCACTGGCGGAGGCGAATTGCGTTTCACGCTGTGCTGCTCCCCCTGGAAACTGAGCCCCCATCAGAATGTTCCACTGAAATAAAAACCCCTCGTCTGGGCCTTACAGGTGAAAGACCCAAAATAACCATCCTGGGCAGCCAGAGAAAAGCGGCTCCCTGGGGGCGTAGGGAGTGGGCGAAGCGCAGGTGGGGAGGGTTCTACATAGGCCGCTGCCATTGAGGGTCACACAACGGGGGAACGTTAAGGCGCCTGGAGTCCCACCAAAATAAACCAGGCTAGCCCACGGTGGAATCTGTGGCAGGACGACAGGGCTGCGGCGCCGACCAAGCGATTCCGGAGAGCAGCTGAAACGCCAAAACAATCCTCCCGTCACAGCCGCATTAAACAAGAATCGTTTCCTTCTCGTTTGCTTCATTCTGTGCCCCCCCCCCCCGCTTCCCGCACACGGCCACCCGCCTTCTCCGTCTACACAGACCTGGCAGAAAAACCTGTGTGTTGTGCTGTTGTTTTGATTCTCTCTGTTAATATCTTGAATTGTAAATGTTGTTTAGTTATGACCATGACGTACTGTTTTGGGCAATGTTTCTTTACAATGCATACTAATATATTATGGTTATTATATATGAATATATTTAATGACATGAAAAGGTTGTGGATTTTCTTATTTTCCCCCCAAGTTGTCTTTTTTTGTTTTGTTAGTTGGCTGTAACTGAACCAGGAGCTTGTAACTGTTCATCACCCACTTGGTAGAACTAAAGTCAGAATCCAGTTGAATAAACTCTTGTAAACGGTACTTGTGCTAGGCCGGTCTCTTGAGTTTCGTTGAGATTAAAGGGGCTCTCGCTCTGTGGGATACAGGCCTGATTCTGAAGGTGCTGGGCCCAGCTGCTCTTAGTAGAGCTGGAATCAGCCTGGTGGCTCAGGCCCTGCCTTCGGGCATCCCCTAGCGTACCAGGCAATCCAGACTCGGGCTGGGCGCTGAGGGAGGCTGAAAGAGCCACCTGGCTCCTGTCCCTGTCGCTGGCCATCAGCAAAAACACATTTGGGAATTCTGGGCTGGTGACAGTCGCCAGGTTTCTAGCTCTGGAGGGGGCCCTGATCCAAACATGGAAGCAGCACAGCTGCCTCCCAGCCCTGACGCTGCTGAGCTCCGTTCCACAGTCTCTGCTTGAGCACGCCCGGGGCGGTTTGACTTCTTGCCAGAGACGATGGCTTTCGTGATGCTCAGAGGGAACCCGCTGCCCACCCAACGCAGCCACCGGAGGCCTCTGGGTATCCCATGGGATGAGACTGACCCATGGGATCGGATGGGTTTCAGCGGGCGACTTAGGCTCCTGGGTCCCATTAGCAGCCCTGAGCCACCCTGCATGGCTCCATTACACCCCAGGCATTCCCCACCGTGTCCAGGTCTATGACCAGAGAAATCCGTTCTCACGGCAGGGCAGTGCTCGGACTCCTTAGGAGCAAACCAAAGAAAGGCCAGACCCGCAGCCAGGGCCGACCCTACCATGAATGATTCACTCCCCTCTTCTCTCCCCTCCTCGGGACAATTCCCAAGAGGCACCTCCTGCTTTCCAGCAGCTCCGCTGGCCTCCCAGCACCTCGGGTCAGGGTGCTAAGGAGCTGGGAACATGCTGGCAAGGTTCAAGGAGAACTTATCAGAAGACATGGAGAAAGGCAGCCTAAGCAAAAGGTGTAACAGCAGCCAAGGAAAACACCCCCCAGGAACGCAGCAGCCCAGGCTTGGTTCAAGAGCGACTTGTGTTGCTCGATCAGTTGCAAAGCTCTTGAGATGTCAGCTGTTCCTCACAGCGCATGCTCAAGAGCCTGGCTAGTGTCCCCGCCAGCCCCAGCCTTCCACAGCAAGAATGAAAACCCTGCACAACTAGTTAAACAGTGCGGAGGATGGTATTGCGGGGGGAGGGGGGAGAGGGACTTCCCGGATGCCAAATGGTGTGAGAGGGAATAACGCAGGCAAAGATCCTGTGACCTGCAGAGAGGTCACGCTGAGCGACTCACGTCTCCGATAATTTATTAGTTCCAAAACTTTAGAGGTCGGTGATCTCAGATCTTTGTAGCCGAGGCAGAGGGGTCAAACATGCCGTCACCGCCCTTCCGCACTCTTGCATGAAGCTTTAAAAAAAAAAAAAGGGAAAATAGATTCAACAGGCTTCCCCAGCTCTCAGCGAATGGCCCGCGAAGGCGAAACGGGGGCGGCTGTGAGGTGGGGGGGAATGGGCTTATTCCCAGCTGCAGGGTGGGTGTGAGTGCCTTAGCGCCTGCCAAGGCCTTTCGCCCCCGCTCTCAGCACGGAGCCTTTCCCTGGTGCGCTGGGTCATCTCACGTCTCCTCAGAGCCCAGTACAAAGCAGTCCCTCCCAAAGACGCGCCTGCAAGGCTCTGGGGCCACTCTGGCTGGCGACTGGCTCTAAGACGCGAATTCAGTGCCTATTGAAATTACTCTTCTTGGAGCAGCAGCTGCTGTACAGACAGACGGCGAGGAAGGCACTTTGAATAGGACCTAACGGCCTAACGGGATCAGGCGCAGGCAGAAGAGGAGCAACTTTGCTTTGTAACTGGACCCTGCGAGAGCAATTCCGGGGTCCACGCTCACGGATCGTGCTCCCCCATCTCCACTGGTACGGGAGTGGCAGATGGACGAATCAGAAAAGCTCCCCCCCCAAAAAAGTTGTGTGGCACCAGCACACCCAGGAGCCAGAAGAGGGACTCCTTTAGCAAAATGATTCTCACACAACACCACCGGTGCGCCCTCCAATGGCTGCACAGGTGTGCGGAATGCCACATCCGCCCACGCCCAAAGCTAGCGCCAGGTAGCAGAAATCCCCGTGTCAGCAGCGAGAGCCGCCTGAAGCTCGTACTCGGCTCTCAACAGCTGCACCCGTGAGTCTAACAGGGAAGGGAAACCAAACCGATCCACTTGGCTGGGTTAATCAGCAGCAGCTGGAAGGACGCACTGGCTGGAAGCTGCATCAGCAGGATGGGCACTCACCTTAGCATGCTTAGGTCCCCCTGTCTGTGTTCCTCCTCTCCTGCAGGCCCCTCTCTCCCCATCCTGACCTGCCCAGGAAGCAGCCAGACTCCTGGTCTCAGTGAGGGAATATTGTTTATTCCGGTGGAGGGAGAGCAGCTTTTGAGCCATGCTGAGGAAGAGCTGTGTGCAGCTCGAAAGCCCGGGAGAGGGGGTGAGCGTCTGTCTCTCTCCCCCCAACAGGAGGTGCTCTCACCTGGGCCAGGCACAGTCCAATGCCGGCTTTGTCTAACAGACTTTTCTGACTGGGAATCTTTTCTTGGAAGGAGCTTCCAACCAGAAACCCAGGCCTCAGACCACACCCAGCCTTCCCCTGCTGCCTCCCAGGAAGAGGCGTTTAGGTGTGTGGAGCATTTTCACCCCTTCCAGGTAAAACAATCAGGGCTTGGCCACAGCGAGAGAACACGAGGCCTTTGGCTCCTCACGTTTCAGGGTGGCCCAGAAGGAAGGGCGAAGCCCTGCCCTGACCTCTGCCAACCAAGGGAAAGCCCTAGCGATGGGCACGTCATTTGCCAGGGTACGTGCCAGTGCAGCTGACTCAGTCCGCCAGGACATGACATTTGCCAGCTACGGGAGCCCAGGGATTCATTTCCCTTTTAGGCTGGATCGGGCTTGGGCAGGGCTGCACGCTGCACTAATTCCTGCCAGGGTGGGCTCTCTTACGCTCAGCCGCTTCCTCCCGCGAACCGGCCTAAAATCACCACCTCGTCAGCTCTCCTCCAAGCCCGCCACCGCCAGGCGAGCCAGACCACGGCTCAGAAAGCTGCTCAACCTCGATGGAAGCTGGAGAACCCGCCGCCATGGCAGGCAAGTGGTGCAATGGTTTACCTGCCCCTGCAAGTGAAAAGCTGCCCCTTATCTCTAGGTGGAGCGAATTTAAAGCTACATTCATAAGCATGTTGAACTGCACTGGCTTCCCTTGGACCTTCCCCGCAAGGGCCTAGCTAGAGCTTGGGTCCTGGCTTTGCCACAGGTGCCCTCTCTGCCTCTGCACCACTAAGCTAAGCTCCTTCGGCTCGTCCCCCCCTGCCCCTCCCGCATTCCCGGGACATTGGAGACAGAGGGGTCCCAGCTGCGCGCGCACAGTCTCTGGCTAAGCAGGAGTCTACTGTATGGCTCTTTGCTGGGGACGATGGGGCTGGCCTGGCTCCATCCGTACAAAGGGCGAGGGCGTCCACGCTGGGCAATGGAACGGCGCTGCTTGGTTTGAATGCGTATCACATGCCCAGCTGCCCGAGCAACCAGCTCATAACATTTGTTAAATAGACTCGACCGAACACGGGCTGAACTGCAGCCTGGTCACACTTCACACGCGGCCGTTCCACTCGCTTGTGGACAATAATGAAACCAGTCTGCTGCTTGCTTTAAGCCTGCCCTTCCAAAGAGCAGTAAACCAGAAAAGGGTTCCATGCACAACAGCAACGCCCTGCCAAAGCCACTCCTCTTTTTTAACAGCATTCCTCACCCACAGGCTCTGCTGAACGTTAAAGGGCAAATCGAAGGCTCTGTCAAATACTTCAGCTATAAAGATGCAGTAGTTCTCCTCTTCTCATGGCTCAGAATCCTCCCCCTGCCCCGAAACACAACAAATCAGAAAATACCTTTTCAAAAGCTCCTACACAACAGACCTAGACTGGTGTATAGAATAGCCGCATAATTTATTCTGCCCAGCGTATCCAGGGAATTCAAATAAAACCTTAATTCCCCTCCATAAACAGCAGTATTAATTAAAAGTCAGGGTCTTCATGTTCCGTAACACAGAAATCGCTCGCACGCAGGAGATTTGAAATACATCGAGAACCACAATTGCTTGTTTTCAGCCGGAGTGGCTGGGTTTAAAAGCTCCATTTGTCCTGGAAAGAAGTCAAGCCATAAGGTCATTGAGACATTCCTGCAAAACATGCACTGGCTAAGGGCTGCCACCTTCTTCTCCAGCTGTTTGAATAGGAAGCTTCTTTCCAAGTGACAAAGAAGCAAACAGGCATAAAAATCATTTTGAATTAATTGACTCTTCGGATCTTTTAAGAGCAGCAGCTCCCGGCAATGTAGGTGCATGGAGTTCTTGCTTTTTACTGCACAGAACACAAGGTATTTTCCCCCTCTAATACACGGCTGCTCATCTCACATCACTTGGTGGTCACCAGGTTACTTAATGGGTTGTTCACCTAGACTGTTCCAGTGTACTTGCCTCCCATATCATCTGCACTCCCCACTTTGGTTACCCCTACACTGAAACATCAGCAAGAGAGCAACAGCTCAGGCTATGGAGAGCTGGCTGGAAAACAGATTTTCTGTCCCATGGGAAAAAATTGAGATTTTTCATTTCAGATCAATCAAAACTTGCTTGGATTTTGACCTCTCTTTTCTATTTTAGATAAAACCGTATATTTTGGAAAGAACTGTCTTTGTGACGTAAGGCTTCTGGAGTCAGCCAGCTTCCAGAATTCCTGTGCCCCACAAAACACACCACCACAGTGTCAATATATACTCCTGGTGTGACAGGCTCATCGAGCTTGAACGTTTAGGGCTGAGTTGAGGCCCAATGGCAGAAGACGCTGTGGGAGAAGCTTACCAATAATATCTAATTCTTCCAGAGTGATTTGTGTCCTTACATCTCAAAGCACTCTGTGGAAGAAGTCAGCATCATTATCCCCTTTTTACAGATGGAGAAACTGAGGCACAGAGCAATGACTCATGCAAGGTCACCCAGCAGCCCAGTGGCAGAGCTAGGTCTAGGACCCAGGTTTCTTGAATCCCACCCCAGTGCCTGCAGCACTGGTTTGAGGGAGGTTGGATGTTACTTGTTAGTGCCAAGAATAAAGTTTGGATCTATGATTGCACAGATCCCATTTTCAAAGAATAAGAAGCATGAGCGTGGAGCTGGAAAAAAACATTTAAAAAGCACAGAAGTTATTTCAAATTCAACTGGAAGTCCAAGGAATCAGTTTCTCTCCTCAAAATCAAACTTTCTAGGAAACAAATGGAAAACCATTAAACTATTAAGACATTACTGGAAACAATAAAAAACATGACAGTAAAAAGCGGAATATCAATGGATCGGCTTTTATTCAGTATTATTATTGCTCTTTCAGTTCTGACAATTAAGTTGGCACATAAAGGAATGAGTTTTTGGGACAGAAATGAACATGAAAAAAGTATTTAATTAATTTTTTAAATACTTGCAATATTTCCTTTGCACTTTTAACAGTTATGAAAAGCCATCAAAGAAAGCTGTGCAGAACTCTGATCTGAAAACTAGTCTGTTCACCATCTTGGGTCTTTCACAGTTAGTTGAGGGAAAACGTGTCCCGAGTGCAGTTAGCAGAAAGCCACTTCCCTCCTTACCAGCACACGTCATGCAGTGCTTTCCAATGCTCTGCACCCGCTTGTGTTAAACATTGGAAGGACTCTCTGCTGTTTGCATTTCTCTCTGTGCAGATCAACACAGTAATTCTCTCATGACAGCCAAAGATTGCCTCATACTGCTTGCAAGGTACATCTGAGTTCTTATATTCCATCTACCCTCATCACCAAGCTTTTCCTTCGAGCTGTTCCTGCTCTCCGACCCTCCAGCTCCATTGAAACTTGGCATAAATCAGTTCTTTGTAACACCCACTTCTGTATAAGATGCAAAACCGTGGTACCGAAGATCAGCATTTAGTGAGAGAGCGAGAGGGAACTCCCTATATACATCACACTAACCACGTAGGAGCAGTATACAGTATGTTAAATTCTGAGAGCTACAGATCTCTCCACAAAAGGGGCTTAGAGTCAGTTGCACTGAAGAGTAAATCTCTTAAAAGATCCAGCTACTGCAGTTGTGTCCCTCTGGAGTACAAAAGCAAAGGAGGAAGAGAGTCCTTTTCAAGTTCAAATGCGCTTAGATAGCCCTAGCCCTCTGGCTGTGCATGGAGCACAGAGAGCCTTGATCATTGGACACAAACTCGGTATTAGGATGAAGCTAAGACACCAAATGTGTATGCAATACGGTTGTTCGCATCCCATGACACTGTCCAGCTTTGCTGCTGCTCGGTGGCATCTCTGTGGTCCCCGCGTGTGGTTAGTGTGTTGGCCAGACGGCAACCACAGCTATTGCAATCAGCAGCAACACAATCACCACCAACATTCCTGAAACAGACAAAGCAAAATTAAGTTACCGTCTTCATGTTACCCTGGAGGATTTATTTATTTTTAAAAAGAAACTGTCTTTTTCAATCCCCTTACATCACCTCGAACAAAGCAGTAGGTTAGAAACGTGGCTACCGAGAAGTTTTCAGTTCTAACTAAAACCAGATCCTTACATGTTAACACATGCATAGAAATCTAACAGCAAAGATCATTTATAAAAGCATGATTTGTTTAAAGCTATCAGCACTGATATTGTACATTTGTGATCTCTGGTTCTGTCTCTTCAAAGATAATTCAACTCTTCTACAGGTGAATGACTAAAAAAGTCACCAGAAAATTTCAGCTCCTGCCAGAATGAGACTTAACACAAGATTCTCTCGACACACCCCAATCAGTCCCATTAAGTTACTTAAAAACATGCTGGATTTGTGAAGTGGAGTAGAATCCATGGAATCATAAATTAGTTTGTTCTCTCGCTCTCTGCCAAATTGTATAGCAAACCTGGTTTGTGTGATATGCTCTGCATTACCGACTCATGCAGGATTACAACATTTTATGACAATTCACTAGTTCAGGTACGAAACGGACTCTGGCCAGGAGGAGACACAGAACTACTCGCAAATTAAAAGGAAAAGGAAAAGGAAAAGCTGCTCCATGGAAGTGACAGTCGAATGTTCTAAGCCTCACAAAGCTCTTCCATAATCCCCATACACACGGACAGAAAATTCGAGATAAAAGTGGGTTTCCCACCCCGTGTTTTGTGATAACTTTGCTAGATGACGCTGATTCTGCTGATTTCACAGCGTGCTCAGGGAGAGGCTCATTAGACATTTTGATAACAAACCCATCTCCTTCCTAAACCATGACAAGTCCCCTGGCAAACCTTCTTGGATCGCTGCACAAGGTCCCAGGCATTTCACTCAACAGAGCCCCGCACACCAGCTTCCCCTCACATTAACCATCTTTGAGTTATTAACCAGATTTTTTTAAAAACATCCGCTCTAAAGTATCCCCTTCAGAGCCGGGTGAACCATATTAGGGCTCAAAGAGTGGAAAAAATGTCCCTTTCGTTTGGTCTGCTAACAGATGACTATTACTCAACCACTTACAATATTTACAAGTCCAGCTCATAGCAATTAAAAAGGATGTATTAAAATAAACTCCTTTTTCCGAACTGGAAAAGGATATTAGACATGGCTCTTCATAAATAGTGTCATGTTTTCTGTGCAGAAAACTGTGTCTATGCCAGTGTGCCATGTTTTTTTCCAATGAAATGAGGTTGCCACCAATTTTATTTTTTATCTGAATTTAGAGCTAGTACCGTCCTGCCCCGTCAATACCACATGGCACTAGACGCGGCTTTGGCAGTAACTAACGAAGCTACGGTTTGTTTAAGTTAACACATCTTAGAAGCCATTATTAGCCAAACATTACCAATGATAACGCAAGTCAACTGCTGCAGAGAGTCAAACGTATTTGGCCTAGAGATGGGAATGGTTAAGATTCCCACCAGTCAGGTTATGGTGATGGTTACCAGTCAACTGGTGGCCTGGCTCAGCCAGAGCCGCCCATCATGCCATGGACAGGGATGCTTCACCCGGCCAGGCCACTGGTTATCCCGTAAGCATCACCAGTGGCCAGCCAGGCCATGGCAGCCATCGCGCCACGACAAGGGCCGCTCCAGCCCAGCCAGCCTACCTCTCACCCTGGTTAAGTGGTTAACCAGCTCAACATAACATCTCACCGGTTAACTGATTAAATAGGATTTTATATCCCTCATTTGGCCTAACAGTTGTTCTTGGCCATCGGCTCTTATTCTAATTAGGAAAGTCCTGGAATAATCGTAAACTTCAGCTAACAGCCTCTTTCAAGAGCTGTGGGTGCCGCACGGAAAGCTGTCGTGAGCACTGCCAAGCAGCCTAGGGGCATAAGGCGCCAAACCCCCAGTGATGTTCAGGGGGGAACTCAAGTGCCTCTGAAAACATCAACTCCTGCTGCTTGTCTGTGCTGGAGCTCAGGCGCCTTCTCACCATCTTGTCGAGAACCCTGCCCAACTGTTTGTACATGGCCTCTGCTCCTGCTCACCTTGAATTGTTTCAGAAAACTCACTCACCTTTCCCCACCTCTCCCCAACCACCTTGCGATAAGAACAAGCAGCCCCACTGGTCACATGCAGCACGGAGCGCCAAGTCCTCAGCCTTCCTCGAGTGGCTGCCGGCGAGACCGGAGACAGGCAGCCGGGACCTGCACAGGTGTGTCAGCTCCCTCAGGCCAATCCCACAGGGTTTCTCCATCTCCGGAGGCCCAGTAGGGCCAATGCTCCGCCCCCACCATTCCCTCTGCAACACTCCCCATGACCAAGAGCATCTGCTTTCAGACTGTAAATGGATCCACAGCCTCAGGGCTCTCTGAATGCAACGGGAAACTCCAACGAGCCAGGACGGCACAGCCTCGCTTGCCACCAGGGCCATCCCAAATTCATGGCCATGCATTGCGGACCATGACAGCTGGGGTCCTCTTGGCCTTTCGTGAGATTTCACAGGGGAGGCCAGTCTCTCTCAGATTGGAGATCCTGACCCAAAAGAGAGTGGCTGGGGCGGGGGGGGGGTCACAAGGTTGTTTCAGTAGGGTCACAGCTTTGCCACCCTTAGTTCCGCATTGCTGCCTTCAGCGCTGGGCAACTGGAGAGCAGAGGCTGTAATGGCCGGGCGGCAGCTCTGAAGGCAGCAGCCTAGCAGCAGCAGCGCAGAAGGGTGACAATCCATACCCAAGTCGCCCTTACTTCTGCACTGCTGCTTTCGGAGCTGGATGGCCAGAGAGTGGCAGCTGATGACTAACAGCCCAGCTTTGCAGGCAGCAGCGCAGACGTCAGGGTAGCAACACCACACCCGGCCGTCCTTCCTTCTGCGCAGCTGCTGGAGGTAGTTCTGCCTTCAGAGGTGGACTCCTGGCCAGCAGCCACTGCCCTCCTGCTGCCCAGCTCGGAAGGCGCTGCTGCTGCCAGCAGCTGTGCAAAGGGAAGGGCAGCAGTACTGCAGCCCCCCTACAAAATAACCTAGCAATCCCCCCCAGTCGCTCCTACAATCACAACACCATGACGTTTCACATTTAAATATTGGAAAGCTTCAAATTTACCATTTTTTAAATCCTATGATCATGAAATTGACCAAAACGGGGCATGAATTTGGTGGGGCCCCAATTATTACGACACACGTCAAGTATTGGAGCCAAATGCTCTGAAACAAGGAACAGCTGGTACAAAACACTCCAGGTTATCAATATGGCTACCGAGGTGGTCGCTGACATCACCCTACTTCTCTGCCCCATACGCCAGCTGCCCACTTAACAGAGAACTTAGTGATATTCAAAGCCCCCCCGCAGAGTTAGCCCTGAGTAGCTAAGAGCATCTCTCCCTCCAGAGCCACCATCCCCCATGACAGCAGGGCCTCACTGAGGCTATGTCTAGACTGCAAGCCTCTTTCGAAAGAGAGCGTCTAGACTGCACGTTGAACTTTCGAAAAAGCGGCTTGCTTTTTTGAAAGAAACTATCCAGTGCGTCTGGATGCTCTCTTTCGAAGAAGCCCTATTTACATTGAAGAACGCCTTCTTTCGAAAGAGGAACTTTCGAAAGAAGGCGTTCTTCCTCGTGAAATGAGGTTTACCGCCATCGAAAGAAAAGCCGCATTCTTTCGATTTAATTTCGAAAGAACGCGGCTTGAGTCTGGACGCAGGGGAAGTTTTTTCGGAAAAAGGCTACTTTTCCCGAAAAAACCCCTGAGCCTGGACACAGCCTGAGACTGTTCACAACCAGACTCGCAAGTGCAGACAGACAGAACTGGACTTACACTATGGAATTCATCCCTGGAGGGGGAAGAGAGCAGCTCGGCCTCACTGTAAACAACAGAAATAAACACCCAAGGCATCTGTCCAGCCCCCTTTCCCTCAGGAACGTCTCCCAGACAACCCCTTCCCCTGCAGCAACACAGGCTGATTCCCAGCTCACACTCCTCAAGGTAAGTCCCCTTGCCAACTCGCACCAGGTGAGGCTCTGGCCCATCATCCAGGAACCTGCTCCCCAAGGAGGAAGAGAGATCGAGGGGGGTTGGTTATTTGCGATTCAGGAGAGGCACTGAGGACTTGTCTACACTGTGCATTAGTCCACAGCTAGAGGGCTGTATACTCTAGCATGCCCTAGCACACAGTACCCTACCTGCCCTGCCGGCACTCATTCTAAGCACCCTAACACACACATACTGCAGCTATCCCACTGAGGGATGCTAAACACAAGCACGGATTGGTAGAGACATGGGTGTGTTTTTCCCCTCTCAAAAGGAGAAAGAACGGTGCATGTAACCAAACAAATTCCTTTAGAGCCATGTACTTTGTTCATTAACTTTCAGAGGCCTCCGATTAGATTTAGAATATGATTTTTAGCCATGTTAGAACTCAGTTTCAATTTTTAAATGTTGGGTTTCTCTCTGCTGGCATGCTTAGGAGTGACTGATGCTGAGGAAATTGAGACAAAATAAGGCATGTGATTATAGTGACATGCTTCGGCTGGCTGATATGTTTTTGCGCTGTAGGAAAACGTTTTAGAGGGTGAAAATCCTCAGTACAGTTTTGATGCAACTGAATGCAGAGATTTTAGCCATTAGAAGGCAACAGATTGATTCTTGCAAAATACTCTCCAAGTGTGAATTAGTAATGATACCAGCCAGGCCTAGCTGTTCTGTGACAACGCCCAAGAGGAGCTGTTCACCAACAGAATTACAGGAAAGTAGAGAGTTAAAACAAATTTTGCTGCTATGCAATAGGAGAACAAAGATTCAAAACAAAAGTATAATACGACAGCAGCAGCGCAGCATGGTGGGAAAAAACAACAACGTTTTGCTTTTTGAAGGAAACTGGCATAAATAAAATCAGGTGCTGCATTGAGAACACACAACAGTAAATGACCACACACAATGTGCATCACCAACGAAGATTTTTAAGCAGATCTG